ATAAAGAGAAAAATTAGAAAGGTTTCACCGGGCTATCCATGCTTAGCATAATAAACAAAGGCGATAGAAAGAACCACCTTCGTTGCGCCCCAAAATCGTTAGCATCATCAAAAAGCCATGTGAGAACAAGAAAAACAAAAGAAGCTATAAACAAAGAAAAAGGTTAGTAACTTCAAAACAAAAGAAAAATATACTAAAAAGTAAAACTAAACGAAGCTAACAAAAACACTAAACAACTAAGCAAAAGTAAGCTAACAAAGACCAAAAAGGAAAGTAAAGAAAGACTAAGTCAACAACTAAACAACTAATAACTAACTAAAAAACACTAGACTACAAGATTTGGATTCAAAGGGATTTGGATTCAAGGGTTTTGGATATAAGGGATCAAGAATCAATCAACATCATCACAAAGAAAACAGCACAACAACAATGGAAAAACAAGCTCATGGGACTAGCAACAAGCATCATCAAGTCTAAAGACCAAGAAATGAAAACCATAATGCAAGAGGCAAATAAAATACAAGGTAAGCAACAATAACAAATATTGGCAACCGAGATACAAATGAAGTTCCCCTAAGCTAAACATGAATACATCTCAACATCCCAACAATACAAATCAAGCACATAAAACATAAGGGATGGAGGTAAAAGGCACAAAAATGAGGGAACTAAGACTCATCATTACCACCACCACTTGGCCCGGCCTCATTGGAATCATTGTTGCCCATGTAGTCATCGAAGGTTGGGGGTGAGTAAAGAGCCCAACCTCCGGTGAATCCCTCGGGCCAACCATAATGCCCCTTGAAGTTATCTTGCTGCCAAGGGGCAAGAGGTGTGAATTTCTCGGGCAAGGCAAGCTCAAATGGATGGTTAGGGTGCACATAGGGGTAATTAGGGTCACCCCTATAGTCACACCCTCCGGGAGCACATTAATCATAGTTACCATGCTCGTCCGGGTAAGAACGAGGCTCGGTACCGGGCTTTAAAGGCCCTTGCTAATAAGGATGCCCATGCGAAGGTATAGGACCTTGCTGAGGCGGAAAGTAAGGATAGTTAACCGGGGGAGTGATGTTCGCTCGGTTAACCTCCGCATCATAGAGTTGTTATTGTTGAATGAACATACCTTGTTGCATTTGGAAATACCTCGCATTTGGGAGTAGAGGGCCTCAAAATCTTGGTTATACATGACCTCTAAGCGAATTTGCAACCCACTCATTTGGTTTCTTAGGGCCTCCTAGTCGGAGCTAGCTTGCACTTGCCCTTGTTTTTGTTGTTGTTGTTTTTGTTGTTGTTGTTGTTGTTGTTGTTGTTAATTTTGTTGATGTTGTGGCTCTTCTTCTTCTTCTTCCTCATCGGAGTCAAAGCAGGGGCAACGTAAGCTCTTGGGGACATGCCACACATTAGGGGTTTCCATCCGGTGGAGAGATGTCGAAGATGGGTTGGGAAGGTAGCACAATGCTTGTTATCCCGAAGCCACTCATAATGCCCATCCTCATAATGCTTGGAGATGAATTGAATTTGCCCTAATTGTTTCATATCAAGGTATAGGGAGGCGACATCTCCAACCCGATTAAAATATGGCAAATGAAGATCGAGGTGGAGGTTGGTCAAGAGCCTAGTGACCATTCCCCCACAAGGAATCTTCCCGGTGTCCCGGTCTTGCAAAGCTACACAGTAAGTGGCAAAGATGTACCCCATGTTCAACCGGCCACGATATATATTCTTCTCTAGTGGCCAACCATAAAATTTTGAGCTCCAATTTGCTCATTTTTCCCAACTCTTGCTTGGGTAAAACCGAGTACCCCAAAAGACGGTGAACAACCCGAAGACAAGGTTGGTACACGTTGCTAATCTTGGCCTATTTGGTGACAAACTCACCACCTCCGGAGATATCATCCACCAAGAATCCTGATCATACTCCTCCAAAATATAAGGCTCTAGATCCAAGATGTCACAATGAGGATCAAAATCTAGAGCGACATTGAATTTCTCTAAGGAATAGTCGAAGAAGTTGTTGAAAATCTGGAATCGAACCCTATATTGACCTTCTACGGGAACTATCTCAACCGTAGCAAAGAACTCGAGAGTGGGCTCAACATAGGTGCGGTAGCTATGGGAGATGAATGTGATCATCTGAAGGTTGATCAACAACTCCCTTACATCCTCATCAATCCCCAACGCGGACATGTCGGGTTGGAAGTAGTGCCTTGTGGGCTTAAGGGAGCGGTTTTCCTTTAATTGATGGTATCGGTTCTTTTGTTTTTTATCGTGGATTTTTCTTTTGGGTAGTGGAGTAGGTTTGCGTGTTTAGTAGGTGGATGTGCTTGGGGTAGGTTCATCAATGGAGGTGTTTGTTTTGCGTTTCTTGACAAGGTTTTTGAGGACTTTTGACATGATGAACTCCAAGTGTAAGATCACAAAAACCAATCACAAAATTTCCAACAACAATCCGCAAAATTCACCAACCAAGAACTTCAATTTCTACCAATCACAATTCCAATCCAAATTTCCAAACAACACCAAACAACCAACAATTTCTTCCCACACAATCAAAATCACAAGAAGAATCAACCAATACCACAATATCACCTTACTACCCAAACTACCAAAATTCAAATTTCAAATTTCTCAACAAAATTGCTCACAAATGCTACAAAATCAACAAACAACACAATGTGAGTTGAAATCAAACAACAAACAAATCAATTAATCATCCAAAAACCAATATCAATCATCAAAATCATCAAAAATGATACTACTACTATTCATGCTTATGAACAAATCAAAACTTGCAAATATATGACATAATTAAGCAATTAAAATCTAGAGAAGATGATTATACCATATATTAAGTAAGATTGAACCACTTTTAGCCACCAATGCCCACCAAATTGAAAAGCCCTAAATTATACCCAAGTATGGAGGAGAGAGATTAGAGGTTTAATTTTTTTTTTTTTTTTTTTTTTGGAAAATAAGATTTTATTACCAAAGAGAGAAAGTTACAACTTACAAAAGCTAAGTTATAACTACCACCAGAACACCAAAAGACCTGAAAACAACAGGCCAACCCCACAACCAGTTCTAGATCCAAACCTAGCCACCTTCTAGGAAGGGTTCTAGGAAGGGCCTAGAACAACTGGACTCGGATTTCCAGCCACCTTCTAGGAAGGGTTCCGGAAACCAGGACCAGACAACAAAAAAAGCAAAAAAAACAACAAAGCCAAACACCCAAAAATCACCAAAAACAACAATAAGAAGCAGACAAGCCTACAAACTGACCAGAAAACCAACAAAAACAAAACACAGGCAACAACAAAAGCAACAAAGCTTGCACCAACAGCAGACAACAGGGAACAAGGTAACGGACAGCAGATAGTAGTGCACAGACCAGCAGCAAGCACAAACAGCAGCTCAGCAGCAAAAGCAAGCAGAGCCAGCAAACAGCAGCACAAGCAGTCAGCAGACAGCATGGCACAGAGCATCAGACAGCAGACAGCAAGGCACAGCAGCACCAACAACAATGCACAGCACCAGCAGCAAGGCACAGTAGGGCAGAGACAACACAGCAGTGTAGCAACAGCAAAACAACAGTACATCAGCTGCAGACAGCAGAGCAGCAGCAACAAACAGCATTAAACAGCATCAACAGACATCAGCAACAAAACAGCAGTGCCAAAACAATAGTGCAGTAGCACAAACAACAGTGCAGCAGCAACAGCAAGCAGACAGCAGTGCCCAGCAATGCATAGCAGCACAACCAGCAGAACACATCACCAGCAGTGCATAGACAGCAAAGTAGACAGTAGCAACCAGCATACAACAGAGAGATACAGTCAGCAGAAAAAGAGCAGCAATACAAAAAAGATGCAACGGAAACCTCAGCATCAAGAAAATAAAAGCACCATCAGAACCCATCATAAAAAAAAAAGAGCCAAACGAGCAACCAAAACAAGACAGATAATCTGAGTGAAAAAGAAACCAGAACGCAAACATTAGGAGCTAGAGACAAGCTCCTAAATGATCAAATATTTGCTTCCCGCTGGGATTCTACAAACTGAATGAAAGACAATATCCTTAACTAGGGCATCAACATATTTGCAGCAACCCGTAAAGAGAACTGCATTCCTTTGGATCCAAATACCATAAACTGTTTCAGTGAAGGCCACTTGGATCACTTTATTCTTCAATCTGGAACTTTTGCAGATTTTCTTCATCCAATCGACCTCATCACTAAAGTGTTGAACAGGCTTGGAAACATGTAAGATACCCAACACCTTACTCCAAACCATCCTAGAGAAATCACAATAAAAAAATAAATGCTGAACACTTTCATTGCCATTCAGACATAAGAAACACCTTGGATCACAAGAGATGTGCCATTGAAGCAACCTATCCTTAGTGACAAGCCTATTCCACAAAGCTAGCCACAAGATAAAAACACTTTTGGGAGTTGCTTAGTTATGGCAAGTAACTCTCTTCCAAGGAACTTTAGGCACTTGAGGCCTAATAGCAGCATAAAGCTTCTTGATTTTCAACTTGTTTCCCTGTATGAAACCATCCCATCCCCCTTGATCATTCACGACATCTCTACAACTCAAAATCTTCTTCAAGAACCAAGAGCATCTAGCAGGGGTAGGGGTGGTCTAAAAATCTTTATGCTTGAAATAGTAGATATGGACCCACTTAACCCAAAGATTATCAGCCTTGTGAGCAATATCCCAAAGTAACTTAGTGACAGCTGCTTTATTCCACTCAGGAAGAGAAAGCAAGTTCCAGCCACCACAAACTTTAGGAAGACAAACATTATTCAAAGCAACCAAAGACTTCTTAGCAGGGGCAGAGGACCCAGTCCAAAGAAAGCACCTAAACCTAGCCTCAATCTCTTTCAGAATTTTCTTCGGAAGAATAAAAATTTGAGCCCAATAAGTCTGGATACCAAACAACACACTCTTCACCAATTGAAGCCTCCCAGCATAGGACAAGTGTTTAGCCATCCACCCTTATATTCTAGCAGTGACCCTCTCCACCAAAGGCCTACATTGAGAAATAGTAAGCTTTTTGGAAGAGAGAGGGACCCCAAGATACCTAAAAGGAATGGTACCTTGAGAAACACCAAGAAACTCCCTCAACTCTTTCTGGATATCAACAGAGACCCCTCTAAAATAGACTTCACTTTTATCAAGATTAGCAGAAAGCCCAGAGGCACCCGAGAAGTTCGAGAAGGCTTGGAAGAGAAGCTTAACAGAAACACTATCAGCTCTAGAAAACATCAATAAGTCATCAGCAAACATCATGTGAGTTAGGTTAACTTTTCACATCTAGGGTGAAAGTTAAAATCAGGAGATAACTGTAGGGAATATTTTCAAGCCTTAAAAATCCCACTAGCTTGAACCCCAATGTGATCATACACTAAAGTACGGTGGCGTCCAAAAGGGAAGAAGATAGAGCAAAAGAGTCGCCAACAAGTTTTTAAGGAACTTGTAAACCGTTCACGAGGTGAAGGTTACACCCACTAACGATCCAAGAGATCGTCAACTCCATAAGGTCATGAACCAAAATAGGGTTCGGGGATGATGGTACAAATACAACCTAAAAGAGATTGAACCTGCCCTAATAATAGGCCTCTACTTTATTATGCTCGTATTCATGTGCGCTTTCTGATTAACATATAATCTATAGGATTAACCCTAAACCTGTTTAATATATGTTGGTTGAATTTAATGCACAAACGAACTATTATTGGCGATCACTTGAATTATAATCACAATTAACCTAACAAGATTATTAATTATCTTATTAAGCGTGATTACAAATACCAAATTCCCTTTAACCTGCAATAAAAGGTGATCAAGCGATAATATAAAATAATAATATGCATATCAAGCAACATAATAAATAATCATCATCAATAATAATAATATTACTAATCATAAATGTTAGAAAGAACATAGGAAGCATCATATTCTTAATCACGCTTAATATTAGAAATACCCTAGACATGATACTAGGAATATCATAATAATAACATAAACATGATGTCTACATCATAAAATCAATTAATCAAATAAGTACTTACTTGGATGCCTCGTACCTCTTTCTAATTACAAAATACACACGTTAGTAACTTCAAGGAAAAAAATAAACAAAGCAATTAAATTAAATAATTGAAATAGAGATTAGGGACCAAACCCTCAGAAACTAAAACCTTTCACGTCTAGGGCGAAGGCAACTTCGAATATGGCTAGGTGTTTCTAGATCTTGCGAATGCGGAATTTTGTATAAAAAAAGCAAAGTATTAGAAAAGAAAGAATGAATGAAAGATTAAAGAAAGTTGAAGAAAAGAGATGAGTGAAAAGGATTATTTGACTGTAGATGAATGCTAATTGGTGAATGATGAAGATAGTTGATGAAGACTTAAGAATAAAAAGAATTGGTGAATGATAAATGTAGATGTCCCCTGGAAACGGAGTTTTGATACGATATTTATAGAGAAAATCAGCCAAAAAAGATAATTTATCAAAACAGAGCCTGAAGATCGCAAAACCACCTTGGCGCCAGCCCTGGCTCATTGGCGCCAGGACCAGTGGCTAGCGTCAGGCGCCAATGGCTGGCGTCTGGCGCCAATCCTGGTTCCAGGCGCCAAGGCCTGGGTTTGGACGCCTATTTGGAATTCAACGCGTTTTCGAAAATCTGATAAATTTCCCGTACTAGAAGATAAAATAATATAATTTCAGTCGAAAATGCTATTTGATCTAATTAAAACTCTAAAGAATCCTAATTGAATTAAGAATGATAAGAACCTTCTAGAATGTTCTAGAAGACCAAAACCATTCCTAATTGCATTAGGAATGATAAATCATATTAGGCCCTCCCCTAGATCATTGGGCCGTACTTAAAACTCAAACCGGGCCCAGTTTAGTAAATTGGCCATAAATTCCTCAATACTCATCGGAATTGGGCTTATAATATATCGTTGGAAAGGTATTTGCAAGCCCCATCCAACTACACCACTATTGGACCCATATCATGGACCAACCAAACTGGATTTCTTGTTTTCTTAAAATAAAGTTTTCAAAAACAGAAAGAAGAGAAAAGAAAAGAAATAAAACTTTCCGCAACACTAGACCTTTCCACACTTTCATTTCATTCGATTATGATTCGACGTGAAAGGTACTCATCACTGGGTTTGGTTTTGGGGAGACACAAATGGGTGTCTACAATAACCTAAGCTCATCAAGGCATCTGGAGAGGTATTCCATACCAATGGCAAAGAGAAAGGGAAACCAAGCTCCTGCATGACAGTGATCAAGAATCCCCACTCAACTGAATCATAAGCTTTCTTCAAATCCACCTTAACCATACACTTGGGAGAGATAAATTTGTGATCATAGCCTTTGATCAGTTCAGTTGCAAGAAGAATATTGTCACCAATGTGCTTGCCAGGAATGAAGCCTGCCTGAGCATCATCAATCACCTCACCAATGACAGTAGCAAGCCTAGCAGTTATGACCTTAGAAATGAGCTTATAGACCACAGTACAACCAGCTATTGGTCTAAAATCCTTAACATGAGAAGCAGAAAGGACTTTAGGAACCAGAGTGATAGTTGTGAAATTCCATTACTTAGGCAAAGTCCCGTTATTAAAGAAATCAATAACACTTGCATAAATATCATCTTTCACAATATGCCAAGCTCTCTTAAAGAAAAAGGAGTTAAAGCCATCAATACCAGGAGCTTTAGTGTTATCAATTCCCTTAAGGAGGACATCAATTTCAGCATGAGAAATAGGCCTAATGAGGTAGCTCTGAGCAGCAGAGCTAAGCTGCTTACCCCTCCTCATAGTAACAAGGTCAACAACAGGGAGCCAAGGAGCCTGAGTCCCTAGAAGAGACTTATAGAAAGAGATAATTTCATGAGAAATAGCATCTGGATCCTTGAGCAACACCTGATTAGAATCGAAAATGGAGTCAATTCTATTCCTTGCTTGCCTAGTCTTCATCACAGAGAAGAAATAGTGAGAATTGCCATCTCCAAGCTTAACCCAATTATTTCTATATTTTTGCTTGAAGATGCTTTCCTGAATATCATTCCAGTGCTTGACAACCTTAATAGCATCGGATTCTTTAGCATACAAATCCAAATCATCAGGGTTCTGGGCCATTAAGTTTTGAATTTCAGAAAGCTCAGCATTAGCCTGGTCAATCTTTTCCTCAATGTTACCAAACTGCTTGCTATTAAGAGATTTGATACTAGACTTCACAGAGTTAAGCTTCTGCCCAACAGACCTACCAGAACCCCAAGCCTGCGAAACAGTATCAAGAAAGTCAGGGTGATCAGCAATACAATTTAGAAATCGGAAAGGTCTACCTTTCCCCACAGGGCCAGAGCAAATATCCAACATAACTGGACTATGATCAGATAAAGAAGGAGGGAGATAAACAGTCTCCACATGCCCATGAGAAGTTAACCAAGCTTGATTACCAAAGACTCTGTCAAGTCTAGAGAGCGTTCTAGGGCCAGGATGAGCCTTATTAGACCAAGAGTAGAAGGACCCTTTGCTTTTGATCTCAGTGAGGTCCAAATCATTAACCAAACTCTGAAAGTCTCTAGTCTCATAATCAGTAACATCAGCACCATGAAGCCTATCTGAAGTACGAAGAACAGAGTTATAGTCACCAACACAAAGCTAAGGAGAATGCTGAATAGAGATGCTTCTGAGCCCCTCCCACAAAGGAAGCATATCATGAATGGAGTGAAGACCATAAACAACAGTGAGATAAATTTGAGTAGAGAGATCCTTAGAAGAAACAGTACAATGAATGAACTGTTCATGAACCTTCAAGACATTAACAGTTACTCTATCCGCATTCCAACCAAGCCAAATCCTCCCTTTGGGAGAATGATCATAATTACACAACCAAAGCCAAGAAGAGCCAAACTTCCTCTGATAAGTGAGAACATGTTTCAATTTGATTTTTGTTTCAAGCAATCCAACAACATCAACTGAATGAGAGTGAAGCAACCTCTTTACAGAGGCAACTTTGCCAGGGTCATTCAGGCCCCTGACATTCCAAACAGAGTAAATCCTGACACCAAAGGGGGATTAACCTCACCCTTGCTTGGATTTATAGTGAAACCACCTACACCATCCATTTCATTTGCAAATAAAGCAACAAAGGCATTAGAGGTAGAAGTAGGCTGATGAACTCTAGTTTGCTGGCTTTTTGTCTTCCTCCCTACTATTCTCCACCCCTCATCTGAATTCTTAGAGGTATGAACCTGTGGAGTAATAATAGATTTCCCATGAACAGAAACACCAACATCAACAGCAGTAGTAGAAGCAGGAACATGGGTAAGCTTAGGAACCCAAACTTGCTTTTGCTTAGGAGGAACAGGAGCCGGTTGCTTAGAAGCCTGCTTAGACATAGGAGGCTTAACAGAGCAATCATGACCAATCTTGTTACACTTAGAGAAAAAAGAAGGAGCCCACTCATACACCACCCTGATCTCCAATAGTTCCTTCGAAGGACTCTCAACCCATATAGAGGTGGGCATAGGCTTTGTAACATCAATTTCAATCAGAACCCTAGCAAAAGACACTCTAAGTTGTCTAGTAGTACACTCATCAGCACAAATTGGCACTCCAAGCAAACTACCAAGGCGGCTAAGAGTGTGAGATCCCCAACAATTAAGTGGGAGATTAGGGAATTTAACCCAAAGAGGAATAGTTCTAAGAATTTCAGCATGAAAATCAAAATTAGGACACCAAGGCTTCACTATTGCAGGCTTTCCAAGGAACCTATGAGGACCATAACAAAGTATAGCATCTCTATCATCACTAGAACACATATTGACAATAAAGTACCCATCATCATGCCAATACACATCTGGTTTTTGCATATCATTCCATTATTGAGCAAAGAAACGAAGAACAACAACAATAGTAGGGTAAAAGCCAACCACATAAAAGACTAGAGCATTAGCCCATTTTCGATTACCTGCCTCAAGCTCGGATGCCTGTAGCTCAGCAATGAGTTTCCCGTCCTGCACTTTCGGAGCAACAAAGGATAATGTAGCCCCTTTTGCAGCCAATTTCCCAGTAAAAGGAGCAGCTCGATCACTCACATTCTGCTCCAGAACAGGGGAAGAGGCAGCTTGGTTTTCATCAGACTTGCGCGAGTTCAGTTCCAGGGTAGAGGGAAAAGCAACTCGATCTTCATTAACTTTGTGCACATTATGCTCCAGAGAGGGTGAGGAATAATGTAGTGAACGCCCTGGCTCACCACTGTGCCTAGATCCACCAGCATCCAATGGAACAATAAACCCAGAAACCTTAGGTACTGTTCCATTGCACTGACTCGGCCTAGCAGCAGCTTTAGCAAAGAGAGTAGCTTCAGCATCCAATGGAACACCGGAAATAGCACCACAAGCCGACTGAACTAACGCCGGCGCCGGAGTAAGCAGTTCATCCACCTCTTGAATTGGGCTAGGAACGAAAGAGGTACTTGAGTTTCCCAAATTCTGCAAAATCGAACCAACAACTTCATGAGCAGTCTTTTGTTGCGCTACTTGAGGTGTAGAAATAGCTTGCTTCTTCTTCTTCGCCATTGATATCCAGATTTGATGAAGAAAACCAATCAAAAATGAAGAACCATGAAGAATAGAGAGAAGAGAGAAAGTCAACAAAAGTCAAACCTCAACTCAAAAAGCTTTTGATTGATTGGAGGTTTAATTTGGTTAAAGTAGTATGAATTTGATGATTTGGATGAAAATGTAGAAGGTATTAGTGAATTTGAAGTGAAAAATTGAGTGATTTGTGTTGAAATTTGATGAGAATGAGAGGGAAGTGGTGCGGTTTCAAGGGTTTGAGGTTGATGGGGGTCGAATGTAGAAGGAGGAAATAAGGGGAAATGAAAGAAGGAAGGAAGGAAGAGAAGATAAGGGGGGCATGGGCTTGCTAGCGCGCCCGCACCAGCCAGGTGCGCGGCCGCACCAACCACGTGCGCGTCCGCACCTCTGCCTAGCCCGATTCTTCTTCTTTTTTTTTTGGTGCGTTCATCGGTGGGTTTATCGATCAAGATCAACATTTGGGCTCTTGAACCCACTGAAAGTGGCAGATTCAAATCAAGATTTTAGTAGGTTCAAAATCCCAAAATAATGGTAGCACCACATGAACCCACCAAGTGCAAAATACCTTCAACTTTAAAGCACAAAATTCCCTATCTTACCTCACTAAAATTCTTACCCTTTTACCTCAAATTCCGATGATATCGAATATAATCACATCAAAAACCGCAAACACCTTCTCATTCCTTATGCACACTTAATGAAATCCAATCCCAAAAATGCAACCTACAAATCCAAACAAGTAGAAAAGTGAAAGAAAAGAAACTAAAAGAAGGAAAAATAAGAAAAATTCAAAATTCAAAAAGAAAAGTTAGAAATCTCCGGGTTGCCTCCCGGGAAGCGCTTGCTTATGGTCCTAAGCTCGACCCTTCCTCCAAATCATGGAGGATTAAAGAACACCACCTTCTTCAAGGTAGCGGAAAGAGAAAATTCCTCTTCAACTTCTAGCAATCTCTTGTTGTTGCTTGATGAAACTTCCTTCAAAGACTTTTCAATTGTAAATTTTTCTTTCCGTAACTTCTTTCTCTCTCTCTTCTTCTTAGAATCACGAGCTTTTTTCTTTGTTTTGTTGTTCATTGTAGATGGTTCCTCACTATCCATACTCATGGAAACATCCCCTTCATCTTGAGGATATAGCTCAAACCAATGAGGAATTTCAACTTCCTCCTTGTCCATAAGCTTGGGAATCATCATTTTCTCTTCACTAACCTTCTTGCCATCAAAACTTGGAAGAGCATCATCACAATTCTCAAGAACATCGTTAGTTGAAGAATCAATCATGCACACATTATCAATAGAGCGAGGGGAATTAGCACACATAATTCCTTGCACAAGAGACAAAGACTCATGCATTGGTTTCAACATAAAACTTTCCTCTTTCTTACCAACTCTCAAGGTAATACGGCCTCCTTTCACATCTATTAAGGCTCCCGAAGTGGCTAAGAAATGTTTTCCTAAAATGATAAGGATATGGTCATCTTCCGCAATCTCAAGCACAATGAAATCAACGGGAATAGTGAACCCTCCTATCTTAAGAGGAACATCCTCAACTCTCCCCTTTGGAATCATAATAGTCTGATCGGCCAATTGAAGGGTAATGTTAGATGGGAGGAGCTCACGTAGCTTGAGTTTCTTGAAAATGGAATAAGGCATGACGCCCACACCATCTCCAAGATCACAAAAAACATTATCAAACATTTTTCCTTTGATCTCACATGGAATAGAGAAATTACCCGGATCCTCCATCTTCTTGGGCAACTCATTTTGAATGAAAACACTACAACAATTCCCAACTTCAACCGAATAAACCTCATTACACTTTCTCTTCCCACTCAAAATCTCCTTAAGGAACTTAGAGTACCTAGGAATTTGGGTAATTGCATCGGTGAAGGGAATAGAAAGGTGAACTTCCTTGAGCATAGCAAGAAACTTTCCAAATTGCTCATCCATTTTGTGCCTCAAGAATTTTTGTGGGTATGGAAGGTCAAATCTCCACACTTCCTCACGCTCTTTCTCACTACTCCTCTTTTTCTCTTGCACCTCCTCATAACTCACACTCTTAGGCACAACCTTCTCAACTTCCTCTCTTGGGTCACTCCTCTCCTCATCCTCCTCAATGGACCTTGAAACTCCCTCATTAAGAACTCTCCCACTCATAGTGGTGATAGAATACACGGGTTTCTTAGGTTCCACTCCTTAAGAAGGCAAAGAGGATGGACAAGCACAATCCTTTAGAGTGTTGGCTAGTTGGGTTATTTGTGTCTCAAGCATTTTGTTATGAGTCATCATCTCATTAAATTTCTTGTCAGTCACCGCCATAGAGGTGTTTATGATCTTGGTTTGGTTATCAATCATTTCTTCCAAATTTGTCTTAAATGTTGATGGTTGGGAATAATAATTTTCACCATTGGCTTGAGGCTTTGGAGCAAAACCGGGTGGGGGTCCCCTTTGGTTGTTATTTTGAAATCTTCCCCAATTTTGGTTGTTGTTTCAATTGCCTCGGCCTTGTCTATTGCCACCATTATGGTAATGGCTACCAAAGCCTTGAGATTGAATTTGGTTTCCATATCCATGGCTTGGGTTTTGATTACTATAACCTTGGTTGTTATAGTTACCTCGGAAACCTTGGTTTCCTTGGTTCCTATAGCCTCCATTGTTGTAGTTATCGAAACCACCTTGGGGGTGAGAATTCCTATTGCCAAAATTCTTAGGTCCATCAAACCGTTGACCACCATTGGCATTAGACACAAAGTTCACATGTTCACATTCATTATTTTCAACATCATTACATCCATCAACAAAATTTTGAGAACACATGGAAGAATCATGATCATAAGATCCACAAGAATCACAAAATAGACAACCACTTGGCATGTTATTGGAAGTAGAAGGAGAAGAGTTAGAAAGTGTACCTCTCCCTTTGGATTGGGAGGGAAGACTCAATGAATTCGTAGAAACACTCTCAAGCTTGGCTTGATCGATGTCATTTCCTTCCCTAGATTTGAAATTTGGGAGGACAAGTTGTTAATCACGTTGAGATGATCCACCGAATAAACTGTCAAGCCACTCTTGCTCGTAGACTCCCTCTCTCCTTCTTGCCAATCTCTATAGTATCTCACCACATCCTCAATTATGTCAACTACCTCTTCTTCCGTCCTATTCATTATAGGACCTCCGGCTCCTCCATCTAGGCATGACTTGCCTTGGGCACTCAAGCCTCCATAGAAAATTTGTATCACTTGATAGGTAGGAATTCCATGATGTGGGCACTCTCTTTGGTACTCCTTGTACCTCTCCCATGCTTCATAGAGATTCTCATTAGGCCTTTGTTTGAATCCTTGGATCAAGGCTCTAGCCTCCGCCGTCTTCTTTTGTGGTTAAAAGCGAGACAAGTTAGCCTTTGTGACTTCATCCCACGTCCTAAGGGAATTGGGTTTAACCTCCTTATCCAACCACTGTAAGGCACGACCAATAAGAGAAAAGGGAAACAACTTTAGCCGAATTAACTCTTGAGAAATGCCGTTCACCTTTATAGTATTACAATACTTCTCAAATTCCTTTAGGTGATTCAACGGGCTTTCACTCTTGGCTCCACTAAATTGCCTCCGTTCTATCAAAGTAATCATGGCCGGTCTTATTTCAAAATCATTCGCCGGTGTTGTAGGTGGAACAATGCCGCTCTCAAACCTATAAGCACCGGGAATTCCCAACTCCTTCAAAGCTACTCTTGGATTCTCTCCCATGCCTTGCTCTTCTTCTTCCTCAAACTCTTCTTCACTTGAGGAACTTAGGCTCAAAGATCAGTTGGCTATCCTTCTTCGTGAAAGAGTTCTTTCAATTTCCGGATCCAAAGGAACTAAGGAGCTATCACGAGTTCTACTATGCATGCAAAAACTCAAAAGAAATTGTTAGTAACGCGGCTACAAGTGTAGCCTAAAAGAAAGAAGAAAAATCTTTTTGTATTTTTTAATAAGATGGAATAGACTCAACAACAATACACAATCACAACACCATTCCCCGGCAATGACACCATTTTCACAAGGGTCGGAACTAGGTCGTTGAAACTAACCCTTACCCTAGGCCAAACAAAATTTGCAATCTCTCAACACACCCTTACACAAGTATAATGGTAAGTTGAGGGTCGAACCACTAAGGAACGGTGGGCGATTATCTATTGCCTAAGTTAAGCTACTCCGAAATGGTAGGGTGTAGGTATGTAAACTAGATCAAGGATGACTAAACAACGAATTGAAATAAAGCATGTAAAACGCTAG